ATTGTATCGTATTTGATGTGCTCCTTGCCTTCTCTTTGCAGGTAAGCCTTTATTCAAACTGTTCATGCTCATTCCTCACTAGCTTTTAAGCACATTTGCTGATAACTCATGCTTGTCAGCTTGTGTGTATCTAAATGACTAAATCAATAAATTTGTTGTCTTTCATTTGCCCATGTCTTCACTTCGTTTGAAATTTTGAATATATATTAGCTGTTAAAATAGCTATTAATTGGCTGATTTATTGATATGTTTACCGACACAAAGCTCAATTATGCTTGTAATTATTAATTCTGTTGAACTTACCCACCTCCCCTCACTTTTAAATTAATAGGCACTTCAAAACCCAAAGACTGAATCTTTTGACGATGCCATATTCCATGACAAGGATGAGTTAACTGTAACTGTTCATGGTGGAGAGGTACTTGTCCTTCGAATTTTCCAAGTAAAATAGCCTTCATTCCAATTTGTGACCTGGTTTAATTTGAAGCTTTTTATTTTTCCATGGGCGATTAGGTTTTTGTTCTTTTATTTGTTAACATTTATAAATCTCCCTTTATGTCATACTCGTGTGTCTGTCTGAGATGTATCTTCCTTTGAATTTTGTCTTGTTTGCATGTTCCAAATTATAGGCCTCTTTTCCTTCAATTTTTATAATCAGATTGATTTTCCTAAGGATTTATAATGGATTGTCCTACATTTCTTTTCTCCGCGTCCTACATTTCTTTTCTCTGTCTCTTCCTTTAGCTTTATCAGAAAGATTCAATTTCGAATATTATCTTTATTGTTTAAAATTATTTTTTATGGAATCTCGCCCCCCGACAATAATCCTGGGGCCGCCCCTAGCCCTCCCCCACTCCACCCCCTCCCCTCGCTCGTCACGTCCTCACTCCGTCTTAAATGTGGATCGGGACAACGACGGGGTGGTAAAATTCCTGCCATGCCTATAGTCTTTTTTTAAAGATATCAACTGTGTTAGAATTTTAGGATGATATGAGAATTAAAATGTGTGAATTGAAAAAGTTTCTAATAGGTGCGTCGATTGGGCATGATTCTTCAAATGTAAATGATTTATATCAAAGAATTGTTTCAAATGGATGTGACATTTTGATAAGATGCAATCTAGACCACCAATTTTGAAATGATATCATCTAATGATTGTAATTAATTTGGCCATAAGATCTGACCATTTGAAGAGATACTTACAAATAGTGGTGGCAAAAAAGCTCGCCAGCTCGGACGGCTCGGGCTTGGCCTGGAAAAAGCCCGAGCCGGGCCCAACTCGGGCTCATTGGAACTGAACCTAGGCTAGGGCCGAGCCCCATTTTGGGGGGGCCGGCCCGACGTGATTAATTAAAAAATTTAAAGATAAAATAGCTGAAAACAATTTAAAAAAAAATAAAAAACCGGCCCAGGCTCGGCTCGGCTCGGCTCGGGCACAAAAAAAGCTCCGCCAAAAAAGCTCGAGCAGAGCCGAGTCCGAGCTTTTTTTTCGGCTCCGCTCGTTGACATAGCTACTTACAAATCTATAACTAGTACACTCCTAATTCCATTTTCTACAATTCAAATCAATTTCATATAATTGATTTCTAATACTTTCATTTTCTAAATTAGGTCAAATTAATTTTCATATTATTTTGATTTTTGTGTACGATATTTATTATTCGATATCTTTCATTATAGAAGAGTAAGGTCAAACGTTCGTTCGTCCGATAATATTAATAGTGTGTTATATTAATTTTGGAAGAAGCATTGTATTTTGGGAAACGGACGTTCATTTGATCATGTTAATACTAGTGCATGAGCAAAATTCATCTTAAAGAGATTTGCATTTGCATACTTCGGTTCATTTTATCTCTTTCGATTTCTGCATTTTCTATATTTGACTAAGTAGTGATTTGCTCATTATTATGTATGTACTATGATTCAATAAGTCGTTACTTTAGTATTTGCATGCACCTTTTTATTTAAAAGTAAAATAAACGAGGCGGAGACCAGTTCCCACCCCGAGCCCTCCCCATCGTGTTTTAATAGGATATGGGAACGGAGCAAGGTAACAAAAATACTCGACATGATGGGGGACGATAATGGTTGAACCACCCCGTTGCTATCTCTAGTGCAACTTTGGTATTCTCTCTCAAAATTTCTTTGTTCTTCTGTTTATATCTTTAGTGAATTTTGTGATGTATACTTAGTGTAAACAAAAAGAGAATTGCTATATTTATTGTAATGAACAATTTTGTGTAAATTTTGGTGAGGCTAGACACACTGAAGAAACCTATAATTTTTTTTCAATGTTTTAAAAGTCGACCCGAGTATCAACTCAGAATGATAAATGGTTAAGAGTCAAATGGTCGAAACGGGGATCCACCCAATAAGTTTTTTTTTTTTCCAAGAAAATGAAAAATAAATATATTTACAAAAAATTAACAAATGAGCATCTAGAAACTAAATGGGCCAAAAGGCCCAAAAAACCTCTATAACCTGGTATAGATGTTTGGCCCCATATGCAAACCCTATTATCGGAAGACTTTCCTCATTTTTCCAAATCAAATCACAGCGCGTTAAAATCTTGTCCGCGCCTCATCTTCTCTTATTCTACTCTCTCTCACGCATACAATATGTGAATATATATACATACAAATATATTTCCAATTATGAACATAAATATTAGCGTGTGTTCTATTTTTCTTTTGTTGAAATAAGATTTTAGATTCAGGGTGAGTTTTGGACGATTAGAAACGGTAGGGACAAAGCTTTCTTATTATTCATCAATTTACTCTTTTCTTTCAAAAAAATTGACCCGATGAATTGTAAAAACCGTAATTTTCCGATTAAACTAAACAATTACTGGATTTTATATTGATTTTTTCTCATCTGATTTGACCTTTGTCATCGGACTGAATTTCAATTCGGTTCCTGAGTTTTCAATTGAACCAGGCAGTTCATTCCGATTTTCACAACATTGATTTTTTCGTACATTGTATTGAACAATTATTGATTTGATTTTTAGTATAAGAGCTTTTCTACCTTGTAGAAGCTCAACTGATGACTAACTTCTAATAAAACGTGAACATCTATCTCAACATGTGGTTGTTGGTATGTAAAAAACTAAAAAAAGTTTCTTATATTGATTCTTTAATTTTTTTAAAATTTACTTAATTATTTTTGAATTTATTCGACTTAGGATTGACACTTAGCTACTATTTATCTATCCTTGTTCAAAAATTAATTTTTTCTAAAATTCGATTTCAATGACATGCTCATAATAAAATATTTTACACTTAAATCTTTTTTTTTTTTAATAATTTTTAACCACAAGTTCTTCAAAAAATTACTATTTTAAAAAAAAAATTTTTTTTTTTTTGAAAAAAGGCCTATTTTTAATGAACGTCAATTATGGACTTAATATACCCATGCCACTTGATGCCAATAGAAAATTATGCCATACCATGTAACCCGACACCTTTTTGTCCTATCCCTAGCTGTTTTTTTCTTTCAGTCAACTCGTCTAAAATTTAATATTTTTGTCCTATATTGCGCGTAGCACACACGTGCGTCATTTTAATTCTTCCGAATAGTTTACTACTCCATACATGTGCAACCTTACGTAATATGCAAATTTGTGACGTAACTCAACCCCACCCCCAATCCTTGAGGGGTAATTGCATCATTGCTCTTCTACTTTTGAAAATCAACATGTTCATCTTTAATTTCTCATTATTGCCATACAAGTGACATTAGATGACAAAAATTACTCAAATCTTCGTTCAGTGTATGCAATCCACAAAATATACCCTAATTTTTATATGACGAATAACAGAAATTTAGATGGTCTTCATGATTGTAGACTTGTGCAATCATAAAAAAAAAAAAAAAAATCCAAAATAATATTTTCTAAATGTTGATAATCAACTTATTACTAAAGTAATAGATTGGAGACATATGTTGCAATTTTTATATCTATATAATGACAACCTTTCCATGTCCCCCTTAACAAACCACCACTGCCACGCACACCTCGCAACTTCAATTCCAAGAAAATCTTAACACCATTTACATATCACTTTTCTGGTGCCGGCGATGCAAGGAATCCGCCATTATGCGCCGCTAAGTGACTGCAGAGTAAGGCTAGAATTGACTCCAACCACCACCTCCCCACTGGCTATATCCGTCGCAGAGTCGACAGAGATGCGTATCCAACGGTTGATATGTGAGAATCCAGTGATCATCTTTAGCCGCTCCTCTTGCTACATGTGCCACGTCATGAAACTGCTGCTGTCCACCGTAGGGGTGCACCCCACCATCATCGAATTGGATGAGGATGAGATCAGCGTGTTCACAGTTCACGGTGTCGCCGGCACCAAACACCACGTTGATGGTGAAGCTGGTGGTGTTCCAGCGTTGTATATAGGAGGCACAAGTATTGGTGGGCTAGAGAGTCTGGTGGCACTCCACTTGAGTGGCCACCTAGTGTCCAAGCTTATGGAAGTCGGTGTTTTGAGAAATACTATGGTATTTTAGTTTTCATTATAGTTACTTATCCAAGCATGTTATTTGATAAGTAGTATTCGAGGAGACAGAATGTAAGTGGACACTACTATCCGTCTCGTCCAATACTAGAAGATTTTAATTTCTTTTCCTTGTTAGTATGGTTCGATCCTTTTCAATATTGTGTTCCAATTTTCTTCTTGTAAACAAACTGGTACCTTTTTGTTTAGATCCTATGTTAACTGGTAATTGTCATATAGGTTAAGATTGTTTATGGGATTTTTTCTTATTCAACATTAATTAATCTGCGTTACATCATTTTGGTTATTCAAACAAGTCTAATAAATAAAATCATCGTTTGAAATTAGGCCTTTTCACTTAACCCAAAAGGGCTAAAGGAACTTCAATTTATTAGATTTTTGAACATTATTAAATAATATTAATCCTATGTATATAATTAGCTTATGAATCTCCTAGCAATTATTGAGGAATATTCTTAAACTGGTTTGGAACAATTATCAGGAAACTTTGCGAACATAGTTGCTTTTTTAGTGCACTTTTTTTTTTCAAGTGGCTCCAACATCCACTATCTTTTTGACCAGCAAATAAGAATTGATCATAAATTTGCCTTAGAATATGGTATTTGATGACGCATTGTGACTCGGTAGGCCAAAAATTAAAATAAATTAATTAATTAAAAAAAAAAATATATATATATATATAGAGAGAGAGAGAGAGATTAGTGTGAAGAACAATATTGTTTACTCTTTAGCAGCATGTGTATTAGAGAAAGATGGAAATGTTCTCATGTGCACGGTGGGCAGAATAAAAGCATATTTGGTGCACATTAAAATGAAAGAATGCATTTTTTTGAAGTGATGTGATGGGAAATATGTGGTTGAAAATGAAGAAAAAGTCATTGATGTGATGGAAATTATTATTTTATTAAAAAATATGTGATTGGAAATGAGTAGAAGAATGAGAATAAAAAAATAATGTAGGTCAAATAGGGGCTAAGATTGCCCACCTGCTGATGTGGTGGAGAACCCAACGTTGGGTTCTCTCCGAGTGGATATTATAAAACTTCTCACCGTGGACATTAGAACGGCTCTATAGAGAAAGAACTTCGATGAATACATATGCCTACAAATGTTAGATTAATTGGATATGAAGATTAGTTATTGATGTTCAATATTCCAAAGTGTGATCACATAATGTGAATGTCTCGAAAATTTGGAGCTGCAATCCGATTGCGTGCATGTGCATCTCGTGGACAGAATTATGAAACTAGTAATCAATTTTGTCGTGTATCTCACTTGAACACATTTTTCAAGTCAATTTAGCCCATGTCCGACGGCCATTATTTTGAAAAAATAATATTTTGAGTAATCATTTTTTGAAGAATGTATAGTTAAATAGTAGAAAAAAATTGGACTTACACGCAAAATATTTTATAGAATGAATGTGTGGTTGAAAATGAGAATGAGAATTAACGAGTATTGTTTTAAAGGGAGACAAATATGGGCTTAGCCCCCCGTTTGACACACATTCTTTTAAGGAAAATGCTATGTGTACTACAACTTGTACAAAAGGGATGACTACATAGCCAAGTAGCGGCCATGTAGCCGCCACTTGGCCATATAGTAATCTCTTTTGTAGCCCTGTAGTACATGTAGCATCTCCCTTCTTTTAAATACATTCTTTCAAGGAAAATGCTATGTGTACTACAACTTGTACAAAAGGGATGACTACATGGCCAAGTGGCGGCCATTAATAAATCGCACATTCTTCAATAAAATAATATTTTCCATCATATCAATAATTTTTTTACTTTTTAACAATATATTAAATTCTCATCATATCACTATTTAAAATACATTATTTCCTCGGTAATATCCTTCAAACACCCCCTTAGTCTGTTCACCTTATTTTGCTTTCGGTTCCTTTCATTTTCATCCACTGGGACTACTCGTGCTGCAGCAGTACTGAATGCAATCAAAATGTTCGGTCTAAGTTTTGAAGACTGATTTGTTACGGAGGTCATAGATCAAGAATCCCTGCCATAATTTTCTGAACTATGTAAGAAATGGAAAACACATTCCAAGATCTTTCCCTGTAAAGTTAAAAAAAAAATTGGGATAGGATGTAACATGTAGTCATCCCTTTTGTAGCCCTGTAGTACATGTAACATCTCCCTTCTTTTAAATACATTCTTTCAAAACTCATTTTAAATCGCACATTCTTCAATAAAATAATATTTTCCATCACATCAATAATTTTTTTTACTCTTTAACAATATATTAAATTCTCATCATATCACTATTTAAAATACATTATTTCCTCGGTAATATCCTTCAAACACCGCCTTAGTCTGTTCACCTTATTTTGCTTTCGGTTCCTTTCATTTTCATCCACTGGGACTACTCGTGCTGCAGCAGTACTGAATGCAATCAAAATGTTCGGTCTAAGTTTTGAAGACTAATTTGTTACGGAGGTCATAGATCAAGAATCCCTGCCATAATTTTCTGAACTATGTAAGAAATGGAAAACACATTCCAAGATCTTTCCCTGTAAAGTAAAAAAAAAAAATTGGGATAGGATGATAATTTTCTGAACTATGTAAGAAATGGAAAACACATTCCAAGATCTTTCCCTGTTAAGTAAAAAAAAAAAATTGGGATAGGATGTAAAACTCCACTATGAGAGGACGATGTCATGTTAATGGCCTTTTCTTTTTCTTTTTCATTTGCCTTTTCCTTTTCCTTTCCCACCTACATTCTCTTTTCCTTTGGTATTTGGAAACAGCTTGGTTTGACGACAGCAAGAACCACTTCTAATCATTGTTGTGGTAATAAGTCCAATTATAGAGCCCAAAAAGTTAAAATGTGGAATGGATAATTGTTAGGGTGCAACAAAATCGATTTGAAGCTCATGGGTTGGGTCACTCAAATGATGATCAAATGCAGTGAAACGTTGAACATACCCTTATTAGACACCAATTGATTTTTAGGTGAGACGGTTGAAATTCGATTCTAAAAGCGATGTCAGATCTAATATCATGAGTTCGAGTCACAAGAACGTCATGTTGAGGACGGAATCGTTAGGGTCACTCTTAAGTTGATGGTTTAGATTACTCAAATTATGGTGATTATTTGTCATAAAAGGTCTAATCTACTCTCATTGGACACAAATTAGATAATAAAAAATTAAACAAATAAAAACAAGATTTTGAAATCAACTTTCGAGCAAACGACTAGACAGTTTTGAACTTTGAATTAACCGACTTAGGATTATATGAAAAGTTTTTTCCAACTGAAGTTCTAAAACTGCTGCACCCACAGACCAGAACCAAAAACTGTGTATTATAAGTATTAACTTTAAATGGAATCAAACATGGAAACCAGTTATATGAAAGAAAATCACAGAATTTTTGGAACCCCACATCAAATATTCTACGAAAAAAACAAAAGAAGGCAGGCACATTATCACGGAAGAAAAGGGAATTGATGAGCTGCCCATGTTACCCCCCTTACCTCATCCCTTTGTCTTTGGGTCATGTTTGGCTAAGTTTAAAACTTAAAGTTACATTTTAAGTTATTTTTATCCCCATATATGTTTGTATGGGAGATGCTACATGTACTACATGGGGTACAAAAGAGGTTACTACATGGCCAAGTGGCGGCCATGTATTGGAGGGTCGGCTGTGGGGCCTGGCCGCCACTTGGCCATGTAGTAACCCATTTTGTACAATTTGTAGTACACATAGCATTTTCCATGTTTGTATACATGCAGCTCCGCTCCCAATTCAAGGTTATTCTTTACACCTACTTGATTACCGAAAGTAAGGTCATGAAAGATTGCATAAATATGAACAATGCAAACGGAGCGAGCATTCCCTTTCACTTTGATAGTTCGGGGGGTTAAAACTCAAATGGTCATGTTAGACTTTGCATAGTATTTTTCATTTGGCGATTAAACTTTAAAATTTTTTTTGAATGCTCATCGTACTTATCAAACATTATCCCTTGGATCACGATTAAACTTTAAAAGTTTTACAAATGATTACCAAACTTATCAATCGTATCTTATTGGCCACTAAACTTTGAAAAAAAATTGGATGATCAACAAATTTATCAAATTGTTATCCATTCATCGTTCAATAATTCACCATGTTAGAAAATTCAACGTACTTGCTGACAAAACAAATAGAAACACTGATATGACATATTATTGTTTTTAGTTGATGACAAATCAGCCATAAAATACTTCTACATATTAAAAGCGTGTAAAAATGCAACTGCATTCTAATGTTTACCGATTTTCTTTTGTTTAATTTATTTGTATCTTCATTTTTTTATTAATTTTTTTTTTTCATGTTAATTGCATCATTTATAAGCACATTTTTTTGTTGATTTGTCGTCAAGTGACGACAATAATATACCATATAAACGAGTCTGATAGAAATGTAAAATGCATATTTTTCTCTTCTTATTTCATGCGCGCGTATGATTATTTTGTGTCAAAATGTACTTATTAACCTTATATTTTGATTTAGGTGGCAATTTAATGGAGATGACGTAATTTGGAAGAAATAATTGAAAAGGGACTAAAGTGAAAGGAAATGAAAGTTCAAAGACTAGTTGCAAATACACAAAAGTTGTGTCAAACCAAACGATGAAGATTTGAGAGTCAATTGGTTGAAAGAAGACGTCAAAGAGATGAAATATCATCAAAGTATGATCACACATCAACTTCCAATCGAAAAGTTATATACCGATTTTCATCCTCATATTGAGACCCATTTTTGCTATGGAAAACGATCGAATTGGAAGATGATATCTGAATCAAAGTTGTATCCCTTTGAGTTATCTTTTCAATGCATCTTGAATCGCCTCAATCGGATATCGGAAGAAGAAGATATGACCAAAATACTGAAAACTATCCGGAGAAAGTTTCTTAAAACCATGCGGTCGCATGGCTTTAATTCCATGCGGCCGCACGGACCACTTCCAAGAGTTTGAGGGCTGAGTTTA